TTTACTGACAATTTATACTTAAACTTACAGTACACTTCATATACATTTGTCTCTTAAGAGGCCCAATTCTCAATTTTTCTAAGTGCCCAACCACATCTGAATCACCATCTAATATCTAATCATTTGCAGAGGAAACCTTAACACTGGCATTTGTGTTAAATAAGCTTGGGATAAATGACGTATTAAATTTTTGGTAAGTTATATCTTTAAGACACTATAGATAAATGGCCAACATTTCGTTTTCTTTTGCACACTATAATAAACACAAATTTATCAAAGCGCAAAAGGACTAAAAAGAAAAATTTAAGCTAAAATAAAGGCAATAAAAATATTACCCTTATTACCTACTTCAATTAAAGGAATAAGGAAACACCAACAGAAAAAAAAAAATTTTCCTTCATAAATTTCAAGGACAAAGGTAAACTTACCCTTATACTGATTTAAGAGTTATTTGGCTATTCTTAAAACTTCCTAAGATGTTACTGTATTACATATTTCCTCTGGTAAATCACTAATATCGGCTTGACATTAATTCCCACATTCGGTGTTAACTTATGAATAAAGAATACTTCCTAAAAATTATCAGTGGACATTTTTTTCCATTCACTTCATCTAGTTTTAAGATATAAAAGTATTGTATGCATGTTGGAAGTTACTTCCTTTTATGATTTAAAAATAAGATATGGAGATCTCTTTAAAGACATTCTAAAGATCTCTTTAAAGACATTTTCATTAAGATGTCATTTTTGTACACCTGTTTGAAAATGAACTCATAAAAATGTGTAAAATATTTAAAATCCATGAACTAGTAACTAGAATATGAAAGCGTCCATTTAGTATTTGACATATAGGTCTTTCAAGAATGGTAAGATAGGCAAATGCAAAATTCTAGGCCATTTCTAAAACATGATCAATATCTCAAAAAAATGACTGAAGAATGTACATTTCAGATCGTAAAGACATAACTGATTGATGACTCAACTACTGATTTAACTATAATCCTGAAGCACTTTTTTATTAGAAAGTTCTGAATGCCGTACTGCTGATATAAACTACATGTATCAATTGTTTCAATATTAATACCAAAGTGCTTTGATGTAAGGAAATGGAATTTGATGGGCTTTTTTCTCATCTCTTTTTCAAGATAATCAATCTGTTTATTCTTCACTGACACACTCTAGTTATTTATTTTTCTACTCAAATGGTGATCGTTATCACATTTCATATGGTGGATAAAAACATTTACTTACTTGTTACATAAAGCACAGACTTTCGCAAAGATTTCCTTTATCATCAAGGATAAAACTCCAGTCTCAGTCTTCAAAATGGTGTATCTTTGGAGGGAAGAAAACAATATTCTAAACAATTTATTGATGCAACAACTAATAGAGAGTAGAGATAAGTGTTTTAAATATTTTATCATAAAAAAACCTCTACAATCTATGCTCCAAAACCTGATTTTTAAAATGTTCTTCCCTAAAATCTATTTGTAGGAATAATAACTTGTTCAAATTTTCCAAAAAATTTGTTTCTGTAAATATTTAAAAGATTAAACCTGTTTGCACAGTATATCAGAGAGCTAAAAAGAAAAAGTGTATCTTTGGTTTATGGTTTTCCTCAAAATGTCTTTTCTTGTCCCCAAAATTAAACAAAGGCGTAAAGGACCTTCAGTATTTTAAACTATTCAAAGGCACGTTAAGTTACAATGGCTATGCAATACACTTTTCATTCAATGAAAAGGTTTAAAGGCTCTGTAAAATTATTTCAGAGATTTACTCATGTTCATAATTACTAATTACTGGAAATACAAATTATCAAAGAACAAAAACAAAACCTAATACACTTATTTTTATGTTAAAGTAATAAAAATTTACCCAGTCTTACCTCAAATAAGAGCTGTATTTGTTCAGAACCATCATCAACCAAATTTAATTTTAATCTTGTAAGTTCCCTTTAAAAAAAAAAAGGAAGATATCAATATTTTGATTTTTAAACATTTCTTGGCCTAAGTTTCAGTGCGATGAAACAATAAGAAAATATTCCACAGACACGATCTATAGACAAATTCAAGAGACGGCTCATCCACACATTACCTGTACATTTAAGGTTACAGTTATTTATCTTAATAGTTATCAGTCTTTGTTTTTCTCATCTTTTGGTTGCATGGACAAACATTTGAGATTAAGGCATTCAACTAAAAATTACAGAAGATTTACATCTTTGGACAGATTTAAGATTATGACCTTGTTTTTATTTTTCATTTGATACCAGGCAATACACAAAAACAAAGGAAAAGTTTACCATACCATTTTCGAAAGCTGACATCTTAACATTTCCCTTACCATCTAGAAATACTTTTTATTATGAGCAACTGAAAATTACTCTTCTAGGAGAAATTATTTAAGTTAAAATGGCCACTGGTTACTTTAAATTTTTAATCCACAAGTTATTTGATCTCATCAAGTAGGATATTAAGTTTGTTTTTTAAACAAGTCTAAAACACGTAGTATCTATGACCTTTACTCAATTTCAAACCAGGGTCTTGAACATTTTCAGTCTCTCCCTTCCCCCATTACTCATGTTAAAAAGATCTTATGAGGTCAAACTACCAGCAATTATTTTGCATTTCACTCTTCAAAGGACTCTGAAAAACTAAGATTCAGAATACTCATTTAAAACCACTTTCAGTGTTCAAAAATTTGAAAATGCTAATTTGAACAACCAAAATTGGTACTTAAACAGATCCTGTAAAATCAAGATATGCGCAACTGATGTAACATGCAGCACTATATTAATGTTATTCAGAAAATAAAACAATTTTACTGACAAAAATATGCTCAGCAATATGGTCAATTACATCAGTATCTTTGATTCTGTAAATACTAGGTAAATTTGCCCCACACTATTTTTACATAAATCTGTACCTTTACAACACAAGGGCTACCGCAGAATGAAGACAAATATATTCTAAAATACACAAAGGTTTTTGCATTTGTGGTTTGTTTTTCAAACCATCAAACTTAAATTCCCTCTCAAACAATTTTTTCAAATTCATGAACTATACAGAGAACTCTGCAAATTTTTTTGAAACCAACATGTAGTATTAAAATATTGTTCCGTTTTAAGCATATCTAGATTTTCATGCATGCAACAAATGCAACAAATATGGCTCCTCTTCTTCACCCATTACGAGAGCAGTCCTACTTTAATATTTATACTACGAGAAAGTAACTTCACAAAGAGATTTGGTGTCAGAATTTGCCTTTGTAAAAGTTTTGTCGACCATGGCTTGTGAAAATATCAATTACTTTTTTAAATAATAAAATAACGAACTTAAACTTTTAAAAGTCTAGGAACTGACCCAAGTACGTTTTAACATTCAGGTGTGGTATGTTACAGATAACGGCTCCTTATGACCTTTAAAAAAAGTACCAAACAGTACATTTGATCATTATTCAAACATCAGAATACCAAATAACCTCGGCAAAATAAACTATATTAATCGAACGTCATCGTCTAGCATCATAATTAAAATCTAGTTCCATTAAGCAGCCTTGACGTTATAGTAAACTTGTCTTCCTAATTTTTGAAATATCAGAAGCACTCCTCCACTTCGCCTTTTTAAAAGACAACCTTAACGTCATAAAGGTTTTAATAAACAGCAAGCACCTTCTCATCTGTAACACTGAAGCCGTTTTCAAAATCGGCTTTGAAAGAGTTAAGAGCCAACACCCAAAAGAAAAAAAAAAAACAAGTTTTATTTTTCTTTAAGCGTAGCCAGGGTTCCATTGTTCTTCTAAATTCGACCATCAAATGAGTTCCCACCTTACCAGAAAGAGGTTAAAAAGCTCCCCTGTTGGAGAACCTGTAAGGGATTTTTCCTTTCAATCCTAAATATCAAAATAACTCACCAGGACAGAAAGGGCTCTCCTCTCGCAGTCCCTTCGGGCTCCCGCCTGCGGTCACCCGCCGCCGCCCCTTCCCCAGCGGAGCCGATCCCGGCGCGAAGCCGCC